CACCACCCATGAACACTTGGTTGGTTTCTCTATGTTCTCTCCCTTTTAGGAATACGTTGAGTCATTGCTAAGCATCGCCTAGATTAATAGTAAGGAGCGGAAAAGTGGTTTAAACTAATTCTATTATTCTCCTTCATTTATTAGCACTCCATGGTCCTAAATCATGAAGTTACTTGGGGATGATTGGCATCTCTATGATATTAAGTTTTTCTACCTAAGAATGCATTTTGCCATCAATTTCATATTATTTGATAACCTTCAGGAGCTTGTTAGAGTTTCACAGAAACAAGTCATGTGTTTTGGATAATGTAAACATGGTGTTTTTTTTCCATTACATCTAACAAGTTAACATGAAAAGATACAAAAGCAATTCATTTCATTTGTGGATTTTATAGCCTGCTCCTATGCCAACCCGCCTCCTCCTGTGCAGCAATCAACTCTTGGGTGGGGTGGGGGTCTTAGCTACCTAATCAAATATGGAGGCAAAACCGATTTTTACATGGTCGTTCCACTTCTCCTCCCTATAGCTGCCTTCCCTGTGGCACTGAACTTTGTAAGAGGAGGGGCATCGTTGTTTAATTTGCCACCAATCAACTTACTAGACATTATATATTTGGAACTCACTGCTTGCTTAATTCCAAAGAATAGCATTGCCATCAGTGTTTTAGAAAATATTTGAAGGGTTATGAAATTAAACTATTACCTAACAGAGACTGCGGTGACAAAATGTATTTATAATAGTTACCTAATCAAGGCAATGAATTCAGAGTGTGCCATGTGGTACTTTGGGGCTCAGATTATTTAGTATGTCTCCATTGATATGTTGAACCAGTGCCAAGTTATAACTTTATAGATTTTACTTGAAACATTATCTTAATTACATATTGAATTGGAAATAGTTCTGAATAGAATTAATTCTTAAGAATGTGAAATAAAACTGGATCAGCATATTTTATGAGCTGGAGCAAATTTTCATTTAAGATTGTCACAAGCATACATATTTTAGAGCTAATTGGTGGTAACGATGTTAGAGATGCTGCTGTTCTGGAATATTTCTTAATATCTACTCAAATTTGTCTCTGTTCTAATAATCAGGCAACCTTCTTATGGAGGAATAATTGCAAAAGTGTCATCGACTTATTACTGCAGTTCCATTCTTTAAAATTCCAACCGAAAAGACATTCATTAAACTGTGCCAGTTACAATTTCAAGTTTTCAGGGCTTGGCTTTCTGGTGAGCAATTGATAGATGGCCTAATAAGCCCAAGATAGAATAAAACAAATACACCACTCATATTTTCTAAGTCTGATTCTGAATACAGTCTTTCTTTTTTAATATTTTATTGAAAGTTTGCAATAGGAAAAAAAATGTTCAATTTCTATAATAATTTTTGGAATTGAGACTTGTAAATTTCAAACCAGGGACCTTAGAAAACTCATATGTAAATTTATGGATCTATTAAATCTGATGTAGAATGAAATTTGGAATAATCACAAGGAAAATAGGTTTATCTTTCTAAGTTACTTCTAGTTATAATTTTCTAAAAGAATAATACAAACATGCTAAGAAATAAAGAAACATATTTTATTGTTCATGACTTGTATGTAAGAATTTGTTTAGAGATTGTATTCATAAATCCCTAAAATTTGCTCTCTGTATTTAATAAAGAGTCATTCTTTACACTTGAAAAGAAAAAGACATTATTCCTTGGCATGTAGAATATGCTTACAGCCTTAGAATTTTAAGACACAGAATGGAAACAATTAATAAAGAGGTTAAAATAATTATTTTTATTTACATTATATTTTATTTACATAATTATAATGAAAGAAGTATGTTTAAATAAGAAAATAGCATATATATTCTATGGAGAACTCAGGTATTAATGTTTGCCACAGAGCATGGTCTTAAAGAAGAAATAAAGGAGAGAGCCTTTGAGATGATTAGCACATTATTGCCACTCTACGACAAGTTAGAAAAGTAAAAAGAACATAAAAATCATGTCCAGTTTCATGGGCTTAAGAATTATTAGTGGATTACTAGTAAAATTCTGGCATCTTAAAACAATACCCAAACTGAGGCAAGTATAAAAATCTCCTCTAAAATAAGCCTTTACTAAGTTAAATAAAGTTTGGGGGTGTGTATTAGTTGTTAGTCAAGATTCAATAAATAATCGGCATATCACTATTTTATATGGCTCGCCCAGAGATGGATAAACAAGTGACGCACACTGTAGACAGGAGACCTTGCTATTTCTAAGACCAGAATGTAAGAATTCAATACCTCTGGTGTACCACATTTGAATGCTTGGACTGAGAAACACATGGTAAGAAGAGGCAGGCTGTAGAACTGTAGTGCGTATTTTCTTTTCAATAAAATATATTTTATCAAATTAAAAAAATAGAAATCTCCCCTGATCAAACTTAGTATGATACATTGAGAACTATAATTTCAGTTCCTCAATGGCTACATTGTGTTTTGGAATGCTTTCCATTTCAATATTGTGTTTGCTTTTAAACTGAATTATTCAGATTATGTAAATGATTCCTGTGGCCCAAAAAAACTATGTAGGTAGAACTTCAGCTTTAAATAAATTATCAGTTAAATTAACGCACTACTTTTCACAAAACAAGTTTGGTACAACAATGCTTAATTGAATCTACTCATTAAGTAATGTGGTAGTCGTAAATTAGTAAAAAGCAACCGACACACAAACATTTTTGAAGTCCACTTGTCCTATCCAGGATCCTTAATACAAGTTAGCTATGGTTATTATTATTTGAGTCTCTTAGTTAGGAAAATGGTCAATACTCAATTGCTTCCCAAAAGTTTGAAGCTGTAAGTCAACACAGAAACCTTTCAGAAGAAATATCTCTCAATCTACTTAGCTCAAAACAAACAGAAAAAACAAATTCACTCTAAGACAGTGTAGAACCGCCCCTGCGGTTTCCCAGGCGGAGATAATGCCTGGGCGTGGAAAGCCCATCTTTCTCCCACGGAGCAGCTCGTGGTGTCCAGCTGCTGGTCTTGCAGTGAGCAGGACAACCAGATGCCAGTTCATCTGCCACTTCCCCAGCCAATCAGGGACAATCTTCTGGAGCACAACCCCCCTCCGGCACCCGGGGTTGCTCTGAACCAGGGTGTATTCGATTGAATACCCTTCTGTTGACCGCTTGCTAATATTTAGCATTGTCTTCTTACAGCAAAAAGCAAATTAAGAAACATTTCAAGTCATCCTTTTTTAAAAAAAATTAATTCTTGGATATAAAAGGAAGAGAGGAAAATAAAGACACTCTCTTCGGTCTTATTTGAGAGTGGGCTTTTTGTAAAGTTTTGCATAGCACATGGTTCATGCTGATTCACTCTGGATTAGGTGATTTAAGATCTACCCACAGAAAGATGCACTATTTTTCTGAAGTAAAAGCAGCTCAGCTTTAACACATTTTGAAGCATTCCCATTAATAGAAGCAGCTAGCCACCTATCCCTACATATGACAATGTTCTAGTGAACTGGAGGCGAATGCCTATGGTTCTATTCTGATCTAATCTCATGACTTTAGGGACATATTATTATTCCCATTTCAAAGAGGAGGACACCAATGCTCACATATTCGCCCTGCTGTCAGAAGTCACAATTCCAGTGAATTCTTTATCTAATCCTCTTCTAGCTACAGCTCTGTAAAAGAAAACAAGCTGAACATAAGACACGACAAACGAAAGTTCCCCAAACATCCATATTTTCACCCTTCTCCACCTTTCTTCTACTAATTTAATTTTGTTCTCTGCTGGCTAAAGCAGGTTCTCTGTCTAACCTCTCACTTAACTTTTAACTAGTAGGTATCTCTAATGTGGTAAAGTTATTCTTGAATTGATCCTGAAATATCCAGCATATTAGAGTGCTTTTCTAAATGTCTTAAATTATGAATGAAATAAAGTCACCAAAGTGTCTGCAGTAGAATTCAGTAGAATTCCAATGTCACATGTGTGAATGTCACAGGGAGGGGATGCACAAATAAAAGCATCTGTCACGTCCACTGAGGATTTTTACCAAAGTTTCTAAAGACCTTTGCTCTCCTTTCAAATCCAGAGCACCCTTTATGCTCTTGCATTCTTGAAATAGAGTTTCCATAAGCACAACACAATATCATTTTTAAGTGAATATGTCTACTTTCAGTTTAAAAAGAGATTATACTTCTATTTATTTAAAAAGTCCCCCATCAGGCCATATAAAAATAAGGAATGTATCAACAACTCAGGAATACTCATTTAAAGGCATAAAAGCAGAATATCTATTTTAATTCCACATTTGTAAGCAATTACACTAGAAATCTTCATTGAATGAAAAACTAATTTACAACACTATAAAAATGAAAGCACATGTGAATTTCAAAGAAATCCTACTTACTTGTTCAAATTCATTTTTTTGCAGTTCTTCAAAACCAAAGATGTCCAATATTCCAATAGTCAATGTCTGTATGCTTAAAAAACAATGAAATAATAAAGAATGAGTGGGCATACTCAACGTTCTTATATGATCCCCTGTTTATTGTACTTCAGGTCACTGAAGCCTGGCCACTAAGCAAACAACAATACCAACAAAAATGCCACAATTGTTACTGTTTTGATTTACACGCAGCTACATCCACTGATTTCTAAATTAATAATGGATGAGTGGTGCAGCACATGCATCTCGGAGACGTTTCTTGCTCCAGTCGACTCAGAATGGTTGGCTTTTCCTAAAAGAACCTGAGACTACATTACAAGTGAGTCAAAGCGCCAATATTTGTATCTTTGGTAACACAAAAAGGAAGACTAGCGATTTCTTCATCCCATTGAAGCACAGTAAATATTAAATCATAATTAAGTCATATGCCTGTTTTGTGAAATATATTTTAGTCACTTCAAAAATTATAATCTTTACAAATGCTTATAAAGGAAGAAAACAAAACATTAGGGTAAACTGAATAACTTATCTCTTTTATTTTCCAATGGAGATACCGTAATCTGTGTTAGAATTAACTACAGGATCACTGTGAGTAAATGGTTTTGCTTTTGACACCGGATGATGAAAACCACAGACCTCTAGCTCTACATGGTGACTGAGGTAGGGTGTAAAAAACTTAGTGTATTAGTCCTTAAAACTCTCTCTCTCATTGTGTGTGTGTGTGTGTGTGTGTGTGTGTGTGTGTTGGTGGTGGTAGCAGGGCAGCCATAACAGGGAAGACTGTGCTAGGGAGGGCTATGATGGGGAAGAATGCTTACAGACTGTTCTGTATAGAAAACTCCCAAATATCAATGAGGGGGAGTGCAGAGTGGGAACCCAAAGCCCATCTGTAGGCAACTGGACATCCTCTTGCAGAATGGTCGCTGGGAGGAGATGAGCCAGTCAGGGTGCAGTATAGCAACAATGAAACATACAGCTTTCCTCTAGTTCTTTAATGCTTCCTCCTCCTCTCCCCACTATCATGATCCCAATTGTACCTTAAAAATCCAGCTAGACCAGAGGATGTACACTTATACAGGTCACAGCTGGAAACACAGGGAATCCAGGACAGATGAACCCCTCAGGACCAGTGGTGAGAGTGGCAATACCAGGAGGATGGCGGGAAGGTGGGGTAGAAAGGGGGAACCGATCAGATCACAAGGATTTACATATAAATCCCTCCCTGGGGACAGACAACAGAAGAGTGGGTGAAGGGAGACATTTGACAGTGTAAGACATGACAAAATAATAATAATTTATAAATTATCAAGAGTTCAAGAGGGAGGTGGGGCTCAAGTAGAAAAAAAATGTTTTGAGAATGATGATGGCAACCAATGTACAGATGTGCTTGACACCATGGATGGATGTGTGGATTGTGATGAGTTATATGAGCCCCCAGTAAAATGATTTTAAAAAGAAAGAAAGAAACCCCCAAATGAGAGAGCATTTTAAAATGTTGACCCCAGAAAGGTATGTCCCCTTTCTTTGTCCATTTATACTGTTGATAGATGAATAAAAATCCCAAAAGCTAAATCCATTGACATTGAGTTGATTTCAACCCATAGCCACCACATGTAGGCTTTCCGAGCTGTACCTTACAGAGCAGATAGAATTAGTTAAACAGAATTATAGGTTATGTAAAGAAAGCCCTAGGAATCATAGCTGGCATCTAATTCTCCAATAAGTAGTTATTGTGTTTTATGTTAACACTTGTTTCTTAGAGCCTACATAAACTGAAGAGGGTGGTTAAGAGAAGGACGATAACTGAGTGATCCCCCCAAACCAAGCCCCTTGTCATCAAGCTAAATGGGACACAGCGCAGGGAACTAAAGCAACCACCCCACAGGGTGTCAGCGCTATAATCTTTATGGAAACAGACTCCCACGGCTTTCTCCTGCAGAGAAAAACGGCGTGTTCAAACTGCCGATATTTTTTAATTAAATCTTTTATTTCTCTTAATTTAAAAAAAATAATCATTTTATTAGGGGCTCATACAACTCATCCCAATCCGTACATACATCATTTGTGTCCAGCACATTAGTACATATTTGACTTCATCATTCTCACAACACCCTTGGTGTCAGCTCCTCATTTTCCCCCACCCTCCTCCCCACTCCCCCCTAAAACTGCTGACCTTTTTGTAAACAACTGAGTGCTTAACTACTAAGCCACCAAGGCCACATAGATGAAGATCACTGAAATGACAAATATTTTAAATTAGGCTAAGATAAATGTCTCATAGGATAATTGTACCCATGTTTCATCTACGAGGTAGGACATTTAAAAATATTTGCTACACAGTGCTCAATAAACTGCTCCTTATCACTGTATTTTTTATATAGCCAGGCCAATAATTGCAGTTTTTCTTGACTGATGTACTCTTTTTACCCTTAGGTTCCTGTAAAGATTGAGGCTCAGCAACCCCGCCGAGCAGTTCTGCTGGGTTCTCTATGGGGTCACGGCAAATCGGAACTGATGCCATGGCCCGGGGCTTGGTTGCACACCTATTTCCGTGGAGAGAAGTACAAGGGAGGACTGCAGGCAGGGATGAGGTTGGTGTTTGCGCAGGGCTAGACAGAAGGGAGGGAGCCGGGTGACTGTGCACTGGTCACCATCCCTATCTGATTCAACTTGCCAGAAACTGCAAACTATTTGCTGAAGTTCTAGAATGTTTTCAGACAACAATAAGTCATACATATAGATACATTTAGAGCAAAGAGTAAAAGGTAGGAACTCCCATATATATTTGCAATCTTGGTATCATAACCCTCTATTCCAAGTTCTCATCATAGATTGGAGAAAACCTTTAGAAGATTTTGATAAGCTAAGGAATAACCAGAGTTAACCTCACAATAAGTGCACCTTGCCAATTAAAACAAGAAGAAAAATGGTAAATCAGGTGATTGATAATCAGCAAATAGCTCATAGATTGGTTGGTGTCCTTCCAAATGATATATTCCTACAAATTCTACCTCGTATGGAAATAGGTTATTTGCAGATATATTTAGATAACATGAGGTGAGAGTGGAGTAGGGCGGGCCTTACTAGAATCTGGCTGATGTCCTTATACAACAAGACAGAAAGGAAAGACAGCCACGTGAAGAGAACAGGATGAGAGAGGCGCGGTGCCATGAGCCACAGAATCTCAGGGACCACTGCTGGGCACCAGAAGCTAAGAAAGGGACATCAGAAAGATTTTCCCTCAGATCCTCAGAGAGAGTCGACCCCAAAACTAAAGCCATGCCATCTCGTGCAACCACCACCCGGCCAATTCTCACTCCTAGGCTCCCTCCGGGACAGGGGGCAGAGTGCTAATGCTCCTCCTGGGCCTCTCAGGCTGTAAATCTCTATGGGAGCAGATTGCTTCTTCCTTCTGCCAGAGAATGGCTGGAGGATTTCAACCACAGATCTTGAGGTGAACAGTCCCATGCATGACCCACTGTGCCACCAGGGCTCCTAAAAACAAGCTTTGTCAAACACACACACACACTCACACTCACACACTCATTGCCATTGACTTGGTTCTCCTTGATGGTGACTCCAGAGTACAGGGCTAGAACTGCCTTCATGGGTTTCCCAACTCTTTATGGGAGTTATAGCCGGTGGTTTTGAACTGCTGACATTAAGGCTAGCAGTCCAACACAATGCATAACCACTACACCACTAGGACATAGCCTGTTACTTTCAGGAATTGTCTACTATTAACTTTGAGATCCATGCAGCTGCTCTCTAGGGCAGTATGTCTGGAGAAGATGGCTTACATTTTGCCTGATGTTTAACCAGTCCGAAGTTCCACTAGTCTGTGATCCCAAAAGGCTGACTCAGCATTGGCTCAATTTAAGGATTTTGTGCCAAGCAGGATTAAGCTGCCTTCTAAACTAACCAAAATACTTCCATAACTCACCGGGCATGATTGAGAACCAAGTCTGGCTTCTCGACACCACTAGATTTCCGTGCCCAAACAAAATTTGATAATGCATGATCTGAGTGAGATATTCTCTTTAATTCCCCATACCTACATGCAAGAAAGCAAGTTCAAAGCAGACAGATACCAGGGCATTTAACATTTTGTCTACTATCAAAGGTGTTGCCTTTCACTAATAGCCTGATGCAAATTAGGCTGCTTTCCAGAGTGTCAGGAGAGCTTGCAGGTGAATTCCAAGGCAGAATTGGAACAAAAACAGATCATCTCATTAATATGTCAATGTTGCCTATAGGGTTGAAATCCACTTGACCGGAGGACCTCTCAGCACCTCCTTGCCAGAAAGTGCATGTGGAGTTAAATGCCTGAGTAATAGGAGTCAAGGATCAATAAAGGAACGACAGTCATGCTGATGGTTCTGGCGGATGGACATTTTGCTGGCTAACAGTTTTTCTAACTGTCCTGACAAGGTTGCTATTGTAACCACAGGCACATATTTCATTTCATCATAAAAAACCAAATAAAGTTCTTTAAAAAAAAAGGAACGTGCTCTGTCTGTCAGTAGGTTGCAAAAGCAATTTTCAAACTGCCTTCAACTTGCATTTAGTTGTTCTGACAGGCTTTTTTCTTATCATATCATTTTTAACCACACTTTAATTGTGTTGCCAGACATAGTTTTGATCCAGCCTTCAAATTAAAACTTTAAAAATCAATACATAATTAAAGGAATGTTCTTTCACCAAAATTTATGTTGCTCTAAATTGCAAATTAATAATTTACCTTCCACAATGTTAATCAGGACCTTTTACCATTATCTTGCTCACTTACGCATGCCTTGCTGAACTTACTTCCTTTCTCTGCTTGCCAACCTCGGAGAAGTAAGAATGGTCATGGGATCACTGATATTTGTTCGCTTTCCCATAACTTCTCTCAAAATGATATACCGTCACTGTAGCATGTTCGACTCTCTAGCATCCGGCTGTTTCTGTCAAGGAAGGAGCCCCTGGGAGGGGAAAGGGCTAAGCATTGAGCTGCTAATGGATAAGCTAGGGGTTGACAGCCAGGGATGGGGT